CCTCAGCAGTTGGGCTTCTAGGATCTTGGCCTGGTTTTGCAAGTCAGGCTTGGGTGGCCACAGTTCTGGAGTTGATGAGCTGGGCCAGCTCCAGCAGGGAGGCCGAGGCAAGCAGCAGGGGCACCGACCGAGCCTAGTCACCATGCAGTGGGCAAGAAGAGGGAGGAGGTTCGGTGACATAGCAGAGGAACCACGGGCCTGCCCTTCGGTCCCAGCAGGAAGGAAGGCTGAACTCTGCACCAGATCTGCCAGCAGGGCCAAATGTAGGAGGAGAGCAGAGGCCCCCTTGGAGCCCGCAGGGCGGTGGCCGTGGGGCAGCTGGTGGGGAGGGCTCGAGGGCATCACCGGAGCAGGGGGCTAGGCGTGAACCGAGGGCAGGGCGCCCCAGGGCCTGGGGGCTCTGGGCTTGAGGAGGCCTCGCCTCTGGGGCTGTGGAGGGGCTTTCCGGTATGGTGCTTCTGCCCCAGGTGATCATGGTTCCCGCCTGTTTCCATCACTAGTTGACTTTCCTGTGCCGGCAATTTTATGTTAAACACACGCACTCAACGCCACCAGAATCAGTAATGTGACATCTGTTGAGGATGTACGTGCAGGTGTTCTGAGGCTGGAATGTCTCTAGGGAGGGGAGCGCCTGCGAAATCCCTGCAGATGGACGATCCCTTGCTTTGTGACATAAATCACAGCAGCTCTGACCTGGATGGCCGGCCCTCAGGCTGGCCGGTCCACTCAGCACCCTGGCCCCAGAGTGACCCGGCGTCTGCTCTCAGTGCTCGCAGACCTGCTGGACTGAGTGGGTCGCTGTGAATCACCCCCATGGATTCCTGGGGCCCTGGGGGTGGACCCACTGTGGCTGAATCTGACGCACACCTGCTGCAAGAGGAGCCTTGCGGATGGGCCCTTTCTCGCGGGCACTTGTGTTTGCTTCTGGGCGAGCCTCATGTGAGTCGTGTATGTCATCCTAAATTGGGACATTGTGGGGGTCGGGGCCCTAGGAGCTGGGTGCTCTTTGAGGTCTGAGGGGGTTTGTTGCCAGGGCCGGCACTGAGGGTGAGAATGACCCAGAAGCCGGACACATGCACCCTGCGTTGGCCCAGAGCCCTGCTTTTCCCTTACTTCCTGGGTGGGCATGGGAGTGTGTCACATCTCAGCACACACGGGACATCTCAGGGGGCTCATGCAGGGAACGGTAAATCAGAGCCCGCTGGCACTCCTGGGTGCCCGGGGGCCCAGCCCAGCAAATCCTGGTGCCTCAGACAAGTCTCTTTGGTCTCCGGGTCTACTGCCTCATCATTTGTAATTGGTGACATCTCAGGCCTCTTCTGGACGGAAGGTTTGACAAACTGTAGAAAACAACAGAGAAGGCGGTGGAGGTTGAAGGTTTTGTGTGCAAATTTGGACTGGTCTCTTAAAATGGATAATTTCAGAGTAAAAGCTAAGTATTTCTAATTAGGTTGATTGCAGATATTTGTGCACAGAGAATTCTGTGCGTTAACAGTTAGATTTTAACGGGGAGATTTGACAGAATTTATCTCCCATTTAGCTCAGGACACTCAGCCGTCTTCATTTCCAGTCTCCAGTGGCTGTGCTTTTTCTCCCACAACAAAGTGGTGGCGGAGTCCCGTTTCCTGGCGTGTTTGTGGAGGCTGTGAAGGTGATGGAACGGGGCCAAGTGCAGATGCTCCATAGAGAGCTGTAACGCCAACAGAGTTCTTTTCCATTTAGAATCTTGGTGAGAGTCTCACTCCTCATCGCCATTTCCAGGACCAGCTGGCCCTGAGGGACGAGCAGCGCCCTCTTTATCTACAGTGCGTTGCTGGGCAGTGCATTTGATCCTGCCCCTTGAACCTGATGGCCGGGTTTTACTTCTGGGTGCAGTGTGGGCAGGGAGAACCTCAGTCTTGGGGGCTGTTTACTGAGTGGCGCAGGTGTGTTTCTGCCTCTTGCAGAACACTTGTTTCCTAACCAGTGGTGTGGGCTAGGGGCGCTGGGTGGGCTCAGAAAGGAGAGGGTGGGGCAGGGCGGGGAGTGGGGAAGTGGTTTCAGGTCAGGATTGTCCTCTCTGCCTCCCTCCTTGTCAGGGCTGCAGTTAAGTGTCTCCTGGGAGAGCATGTGATGTGGGCTTGGCCCTACCTTTGCCCACTGGCTCCTCTCAGAGAAGTGACTGCACACGGGGCTCGTGGCCAGAGCATGATCTCTGTGGCCTGGCTGCCTCCCTGCCTGGGGCCAGTGGCCCAGCAGCCCAAGCTCAGGGATGCAGGGTTCAGACTTCCCGTGGAGACCAGCAGCTCAGCCTTGGGAGGTGGGTCCCACTAGGAGTGGGATCCAGCCGACCTGGGCATCATCAGGCCACCCTGCTCCAAGTGTGTGTGGACTGACAGCCTGCGGGGAGTTGGCCCTCGTTACGTATTCCTAAGCCAAGGCCACTTCCCCTGTTTAAAGCCCTTAAGGTACATGTATATTTTTTTAAATTTTTTTTTAAAGATTTTATGTATTTATTTGACAGAGAGAGTACGAGCAGGGGAGCAGAGGGAGAGGGAGCAGTAGGCTCCCCCAAGAGCAGGGAGCCCAATGAGGGGCTCGATCCCAGGACCCTGGGATTATGGACTGAGCCACCCAGGCACCCTAAGATACATATATATTTTTAAAGCCAGCGCTTCACAAATAGATCAGACGCTAATTCAGTGAGAAGTAGGGAAGATCAGGAGAGGGAAGTGATTTGTGAAGAAAGGAGTCTCCATTCTGGCTCTTTTACACAAAAACACACAGAGCTCGCCACTCTATAAATGTAGCACACACTTGTATAAATCGAGGACAGGACAGAAAGAGGAGACGAGGGGCCCACGAGTCTCGCCACCAGCCAGCGTTCATGTCCTGCCGCGTTCCTTGCTGCCTGTTATAGGCGTCAGCGGCCCAGGGTCCTGTCTGTGCGTGCTGTCGCGGCGATGCCCATGTGGCATGCCGGCGGCCGCATCCCCACTGCCCCCCCCCCCCAGTCACCAGGGCAGATGGCACCAAGGTGCTTTTCTCTGGGCTTTTGCAGAAGTGAGCCTAAGATTCATATTCTGAATTGAGGTTTTTTGTTTGTTTCACCGTTTCTGGGTTGTGTGTTCTTCCTTATTTCTGCTGTAGGCTAGAGGGCCCAGGGCTGCGTGCCCCGCACAGTACGTGAGGCACCGGTGTCGGCGTGCCGGCCGCGGTGCTGGGGGGGCCTGTCCCCGGCCTGCCCCCGGCGACGCCCCTCAGCTCTAGAGCCTGCTGCTCCCGCTCAGGTGCTGAGGAGCGTGCTTTTTACAGAGGTCCTGCTTGTGCGCGTCTGAATGAGAGTTGGTCTGTGATCGTCTGGGCAGCAGCCCGGGATAAAGCCTGGGGGAGTTTTGGGGTCTTGGTGTAGGGGCCCCGGCACTTCCTGTGGAGGCTGAACCCTCCACTTGACGAGCCCAGGTCAGAGTACTGAGAGTCCTGCCCAACCTCGGAGTCCATTCGATCAAAACAAATCCCCAAGAAGAAACAGTCCAGAGAACTTTGGCGGGACTCCATGGAAGAAACCGCTTTTGAGTTTCCCTAAGTGCTGCTCCTCAGTGTCCGGGCCGGGCCGGCTGGCTCGTCACTGGCAGGGGGAGGCGCATCCCCGGCGTCGGATTACTAGGGGCACAGCCTGCCACACAAGGCCATTCAGTGAACCCGCCGTTCTGGGTCCAGGCGGGGGGCCCCCAGGCAGCCTCGGGATGAGGGCTCGGTGTGTTGGCGCCCACGTCAAGACAGCCGCGGGGCTGAGCGCACACTGCCTCAGAAGCTCTGGAGCTCAGGCTTGCCCCCCACGGGGGTAGTGCGGTGTGATGATGGTCCTCTCGAGCTCCTAGTGTGGGCCCAGTGTGATAGAGAGGTTCCCTGGGGCTCCCTGTCCCCATCGGATCTTGTCCTTCTGCCAGCTGGCTGTCAAGGTTAGTGGGGAGCCAGTGAGTCGTTCCTGAGCTTGCTGATGTGCACATGTCATGCACGGGGCTCTTTTCACACCTGAGGGTGGGGGTGGAGACGAGCCCCTGACTTCATGGCCACTTCTTACCAGTAGGGAGACTGGTCGAGCATCCTTCTTCCAGAAGCTGGTCCACGGGGTCCTTGGTCTTGCTCGGAGAACAGGCAGGGTCTGGGGGGATAGGAGGCAGGGGTCCACGGGACAGTGTCTGGTGCTTCCTTAGGTGGGTGGGGTGGAGCATGAGGATGAACTCGGGAGGTCTGGGTGAAGCTGGGATGGTGCCTTGGTGGACAGAAGCCCACAGGGGAGAGCAGGCAGTGGCCTGTCCTGGCAGGAGGTTGGGCTGAGTGCCCGGGTCCTGCCCACTGAGCAGCAAGGCTCCAGGTCCCAGCATGCACACATTCAGAGCCCTAACTGACTTGACGTAAGAAGAGCAGGTCTGCAGTGGTGGACGTCAGGAAGCCCCTGGAACCTCCAGGTTCTGCCACACTTGGGTGAGAAATAGGGCCCTAATGTGGCCCTATTGCTTTACGGTCAGGATGCTTCCTGCCTCGCTCTGTCTCTGCATCTGGTGTCCGTAGGCAGAGCACATCCAAGAGCTCCAGGTCTTCCCACCACCATGCTCACCCTACAGAGATGCTGACACACTGTCCTCTGTGGTCTCCGCTGGTCCTGCTCCTGTGGATGGCCCCCCCAGAGCCTGCCACGCTGACTGTTCCATTGACCTGTTGTGTCAGGGAGGCCTCCCCAGGGCCACGGGGAGGGGAGGTGGGCTTGCGGGAGGAGCAGGATGGCAGCCCGGGCCAGGCCCTGCCCAGCAGACCCACAGCAGATATGCAGTGCCCTCGACGCAGTCAGGTCCATGGCCTAGAGTGGATCCCAGGGTGCCGTCACTCCCCACTAGACTGCTGTGGCCCTCCCTCGCAGACAGTACCCTCCATGCCCGTTACTCTGGGCAGGACTCCCTGGGCTCTACTCCGTGGAGGCGTCTTTCAGGGACTGCCCCCACCCTCGTGCCCAGGTCGGCATGTCCGCACCCCCTGGGCAGGTTGTGGAAGCTTGCTGGGCAGAGCACTCTAACCCTCAGACAGGCCCCAGGCACTTCCGGGAGGAACCGGGACCACCCGGTGTGGGAGAAGAGCCTTCTGAAGGTCTGTTTTGTAGACTGCTCAGACTCTGGAACTACTGCCCCTGGGGTGTGGCTCCTTTGGTCAGGCCTCTCCACACAGTCACTGTTGTGTGTGCCTCTGACCCCGCCTCAGGATAAGAAGGCCCTGCCACAGGTGCCCGGGAGGAGAGTCTGTGTTAGGTTCCTTGTGTTGGGCAACGTTGAGATGCACGGAGGCTGAACCATTCCTCAGCCTCAGTCACCTCGCTGCCGAGTAAATAAAGGGAGATGAACTTGGCCTAGACCTGAGGTGGTGACAGACAAGGTGCGAGGCTGCCGACTGCCAGAGGCCGCAGAGCCACCTCCCCGAAGTGCTGCAGCGCTGTCTGGTTGCAGGTTAAGGGACACACACGACCCACGTGCCTCTGCAACCCTTTCCACGCGGCCTGGCCTAGAGTCACTTGTGGGGATCCTTGCCTTCCCCGCCAGGACTCACCAGGTGTTCTCTTCTTTGTAGGATGAAACTGGTGCCTATTTAATCGACAGAGACCCCACCTACTTTGGGCCTGTGCTGAACTACCTGAGACACGGGAAGCTGGTCATTAACAAAGACCTTGCAGAGGAAGGTGAGTTGGGGATAGGGGCCCTGTGGACAGGCTGACTGGTCACTTGAGACAGATTCCTCTGAGCCCGAGCTGCCCTGTGAGGAGCAGGCCTGGCACACCTTCCCCTGCAGAAATCCCAGATGCCTGCGTCCCCTCGCTGGCTCCCAACTGCCTCTCACCTGTGCCCCATGGGGCAGTAGGCGTTTGTCTCCAGGAGGTGAGGGCTGCTGGCCACCTTGTCCCCTGTCTTCCTCCGGGAAGCAAAGACTTCACGGCCAGGTTGACCTGTCAGGACTGCTGTCAAGCAGGGAGCGGGTCACCTGGGCTCTGGGCCATGTCAGGAGCCTAGTTAGCGATGCTGCTGGGGCTAGGGCTCCGCTCTCACGGCTACTTTAGCTCACACTGTCCTGGACATAGCCGCCGGGTGAGCCCCGGGTGCGCTCCTTCCAGGGCACCTCTGCACCCTCACCTCTGAGCTCTGTCTGTTCTCAAACGGTCCAGCGCTGGGCACAGCGAGTAGGGAGCTTGACGTGTCAGGACCTGAGAGGTCCAGGTGTTTCCGCTCTGCGTGGGCTCTGGCTCCTGCCGGGTCCTCTAGTGACTGCCGGGACTGACCTGGGCTCACTCCTTTCACTTTTGCCGCTTCCTGGGCCTCCAGACCCGAAAGGGACTTCCGTGTACACATGCACTCGTGTTGTTTGGGGCGCCTTCCTTGGTCTTGGTGGAGCCGTGCAGTTCTAGGCTAAGCTTCACAGACTGTTCCTAGGGCGGCTTGCTCAGAGGCAGGTGCTTGCTGCAGACAGGCCCCTGACGCCCTGCCTCGTCCCCTGCCTCCTGGCCGGCCTCGAACGCCGCACTTTCAGAAGGGTCCATGCGGGGGCACCTGGGTGGCTCAGTTGGTTAAGCAACTGCCTTCGGCTCAGGTCATGATTCTGGAGTCCCGGGATCAAGTCCCACGTCGGGCTCCAGTTCCACGTCGGGCTCCCTGCTCAGCCGGGAGTGTGCTTCTCCCTCTGACCCTCCCCTTCTCATGCTGTTTGTCTCCCATTTTCTCTCTCAGATAAATAAATAAAATCTTAAAAAAAAAAAAAAAAAAAGGGTCCATGCGGCCACCGGCACCTGGAGCGTCCCACTCGCAAGGCCTCTCAGTCCCCACCCACAGGTCTGAGGGGGGTGGCTGACAGGATGGCACCAGGCTTGCATTTCGTCACCCACACGGCCACACACCGTCCTGCAAGTGACGTTGTAAGTGCAGCTGCCCACCGCCAGGCTCCCTGTCTGACTGTGCTGCCTGGGGGCCGGTTAGGACATGGCCCGGAGCTGCTGGTGCTGCCGGTGTGGGGCACCGTGTAGACTGAGGCCTGGCCAGGGCGGCCAGCACAGCCCTTCTGGAATGCGCAGGAGGGGTCGTGGGGCCGGAGAGTCCCCAAATGGGTGCAGCACGAGTTGCAGCCTTGGGGAAGAAGGACAGCCCTAAACTGTCAAGAGTCCTGGAGCTGCCCTCTCAACCGGCCCGACTTCCAGTGGAATGGGGAAACTGAGGCACCAAGTGACAGACCTGCATGAGGGCCTCACGTGAGGGCAGCAGATGGCCCGCGAGCGACGGAGGGAAGGTTTCCAAGTTCCATCCAGGGGCGCCCAGGGCGGAGCTCGGGGTAGATGCGTGTGCGACAGTGTACCCAGCAGGCCACCTGGAGTGGCACGTGCCAGGAGTGTATTCAGGAAATGGGCCCTCTGCCCTTGATCCTGGGGCGCCCCACTGAGCCAGCAGAGTCTGCACGGGGTCCGTTGGCACGGGGCCGAGGAGCTGCCGGGGGCCAGGGCCAGGCATGGGCTATAGGTCCACAGAGGGACAGGGGCGGGACATTCATTCTTGGATCTGGTGAAAATTACTTTTTTCTATTCTAGGAGTGCTGGAGGAAGCAGAATTTTACAATATCACCTCACTAATAAAACTTGTAAAGGACAAAATTAGAGAACGAGACAGCAAAACGTCGCAGGTAAGAGCAGTGACTAATAGGCCCGAGTTTCTGAGGTCTGCCACAGCGGTGCAGGTCGCTCCCTGCCTTTGTGCTGGCCAGGGGCGGCCTCTGCACGAGACTCCAGAATCGGTGCTGTCCCTGTCGTGACTGTCTTCCTCGGGAATCGTCCTAATGCCTGACGGGCCTGCTCTCTAGCCACGTCCTGTGGCACTGCTGTAGCCGCACACTGGGTGTGTTTGTCCATTCCTGCCCAGCCCACCCTTAGGGGTCTCCACCCCAGGGGCAGGGGACAGACAGTGCCGCAGAGGAAAGTCCAGGGACGGAGAACAGGGAGGCTTCCAGCGTGGACATCTCAGGGAGCGCATTGTAGCAGGGTGCAGCAGGTGCAGAGGGCCTGCGGCTGGCAGTGAGCTCAGGGTAGACGGGGGTGGGTCCTGAGGCCAATGTGGGTTTCACGAAGACGTGGCTTTTCCTGGGAGAGAAGAGAGCAGTCAGGGCTCTGTGTGCCTGCCTGTTGGGGCTGATCCCCAGGTGGAGCCCACATGCACTTGGCCAGTCCAGCCACTCTGCTGCCCGTTAGCCCAGTGTGTGAAGCAGGCCATGTCCGGCATCTTATGCAGAGGGAGGTGCTGGAGGGGCTGAGCTCCGCCCTGGCTGGCAGAACGGCGAGCCGTCTCCCAGTGAGCAGCTCCTCAGGGGGGATGCCATGAAGTGGACGCGCCCTGAGAGCCGCCTCGCTCATCTGGAGTCTACACCCACCTGAAGCCCCTTGGCTGCCCCGTCCCATTGTGGGCCCTCCCACCGGGTGTCTGACAGGCCCCGAGCTAGAGCTCTCGGCCTTTGTGAGACACTCGCTGACGTCCTGGCCGCTCAGATTGGCCATGGTGCCCCCAGCCCTCTCTCCTGCGGGAGCCCCTCGGGCGCCAGACAATGAGGGAGGGGTCCAGGGAGGGGGCAGGAGACCCGACCACGGGCTCCTGGGTCGTCTCTGGCCATGGGCTGCCACACTCCCCTCTGTCCAGCCACCCCACTAAACACGTAGTATGACCCATGCCTGCAGCACTGAGGCCTCTGCGTGGTGGGCATAGAAGAACCCCTCCTCGGGGCCTGGGCCAGGAGCGCCGGTGTCGTCCCTGTCACAAGTGAGCGCACTGGGGCTGTGTGACAGCCAGCCCCCTCCCGGCTGTGGCCACCCATCACACTCGCGCCAAACGCCGTGGCCTCCTACCAGAGGAGCAGCTGCAGGGGGGTAGGCTACTGGCCGGCAAGGCCCCGTGGTGCTCTGAGCACCAGAGACCGTGCCTGGAGCAGAGGACGGTGGGTGGGCGCCTCGGCGCCTTGGGTGACACAGCAGCTTTTCGGAAGCCACCTCCGCCAGGGAGGGCCCGGGTCTGAGCGCTGTGGGCGGCTCCTCAGACCCTCCCCGCCGTCCCCTCCCAGCTGCCTTCCCTCACGTCCGCAGTCCTCGCGCGCTCACATCTAGCTCAAGGTGCCATCGGGATTTCAGGAGCACAACTCACTGAACTTTGCAGTTTAGAAATAGAGACCTGTTGGACGGCGGATGCGGGGGAGAAAAACAGCTGTTCGGCCTGTTTTGCTTTGCTGGTTGCATTCGGGGTCACTCTGTGCACCGTGACCTGAGCCTGAGGGGGACGTTAGCCTCCCTGGGTCCCCCGCGGGGCGCGTCTCATCCGTGGCTGTGGCTCTCCCAGGTGCCGGTGAAGCACGTGTACCGTGTGCTGCAGTGCCAGGAAGAGGAGCTCACTCAGATGGTGTCCACCATGTCTGACGGCTGGAAGTTCGAGCAGGTGAGGCCCCAGGGACCAGTAGTGAGGCGTCGGGGGCCTGTGGCGGCCTGTCACTGTCCTCCAGCACCTCGCAGACAGGGGCCTGTGCCCTGTCCTGACGGGATTGGTCACAGGTGTTCGGGTGGGGCGGGTCGAGTTGTTCTAGGGCCCCTCCCCACAGAAGTCCCTGTCCCCGCTTCCCCACCCTTCTCTCTGAGTTATCCTTCTTACTTGAGCCCGTGCTTTGCGGGGACTGTTCCCTGTGCTTCCATCTGGCATCTCCGTGTGTGTGGGATTGACAGCCTGCGTGCATCCCGGCCTGGCCCCACCTTCCCATCCCCTCGCGTCCCCTCCCATGCTGGCTGAGCAGATGGTGGCTTGGGCTCCTTTGTGCTGCGGTTGGCACAGATGCCCTTCCCAGCGGGGCTGCTTTGCGGCCCCCCAGGCCCTTTCCTGCCCTCGGCTCTGGCGCAGCTGTGCCCTCCACTTTGCCGGCCTGACGTGAGGATGTGGGAGTGCTCCTTCCCTTCATGGAGCCCGGGCTCCCGGCCTGTGCAGCTGCAGCCCACTGGCTATGGGCCCAGGAGCGCGTCCAGGATGCTCACCGATTGGCCAGTACCTTTTCCACAAACTGCTCACTGTTCCTGTCCCTCAGGCAGGTTCGAACTAAGGTTCGGACCTGTGACCCTCCCCGGCCCCCAGCCCCAGGTCTCACCTGCCCTGCTCGCCAGGCCCCCTCAGGCCTCGGAGCTTTCTGTTTCCATCCAGTGTAGGTTCCGGCCACGGCGAGTGGTCCTGCCGGGAGAGAGGGTGGGAAATTACAGGCTCACCCCAGCCTCCTAATTAAGGCCACACCTTTTCTTTGGGTCTTTTGAAACGGGATCATACTGTAGAGCATGCTTGGAGTCCCCTTAAAATGTCACTGAGACAACTGCAGCGTTTGTGTCCTCCCTCCAATCGGGTGGGGGGCGGGGGGTGGGCCTGAGGCCGTCAGGGCTGCTCTCTGTGTCCTCTCACAGTGTTACCCACGTGCCGGGGTCCAGGTAGTATCTGACCTCGTTACATTTGTGCCACAGACTGTGCAGGGACAGAGGTCCCCTCCCATGCCCCTCGCGTCCTCCCTCGCCATGCGGCCCAGAGAAAGGCTGGGAGATGGGGGCTGCAGGCACCGGGCAGGGTGTTGCAAGGTCGCCCTCACTGGGAACAAAGCACCTCTGTAGCTCTCTCGCTGAGAGGGAGAATCTCCTGCCTCCCGTGTGGGCCTCTCCCTTCCTCTCTGTGTTCAGCTTGAGGGTTTTTAGTCCTTAGCTCCTCTGGGCGGATCCCAAATCATCACATATGCCAGGTTCCTCTCTGTCCCTGAGTCTTTGTCTCTGGAGGATGTCGTCCTCCCGGTTCTTGCCAGCAAAACTCCAGAACCAGTCCCGTTTGATGAGAAATACTCTACTTCCCAGAAGCAGGAGCTGGGACTGCTGTGGGGAAAGTAGGGTAAGAACCCTGAGTGGTGGGGGCGCCTGGGTGGCTCAGTCGTTAAGCGTCTGCCTTCGGCTCAGGTATGATCCCAGGGACCTGGGATCGAGCCCCGCATTGGGCTCCCTGCTCTGCGGGAAGCCTGCTTCTCCCTCTCCCACTCCCCCTGCTTGTGTTCCCCCTCTCGCTGTGTCTCTCTCTGTCAAATAAATAAATAAATATCTTTAAAAAAAAAAAAACAAAAAACCCTGAGAGGTGTTGGCACCAAGCCCAGGGTCAGCCAGTGGTGAGCGCCGAGGCGAGAACAAGGTTCCGAGGTTGGTTCAGATGAGGCTTGCGTGCCCTGTGAGAACACGGTCTGCATGCAGACTCACGGCTCCGTCTGCACCCCCAGGGTCCGCAGAGGGCAGGGCACATGTCTCCAGTGGCCTGCCCGCCATGCTCTCCCGTCTCTGGCCACACAGGCTATGTTGCCCACGCACTCTCCTTGCTTGGCCTTGCCCGCTGCCCCCACACTGTCCTCGTCCTTCCCACGCTGCTGCTCGTGGCACGCCCGCCCCTGGCCTTCTCCATCGCCCCGAGTGCCAGCTGTCCCCGGCGTGCGCTCACGGGCTAGAGTCTCCCTGCCGGCGGGTGGGCTGGTGTGCCGTGCTCACCCCATGCTGCTGCTCTTCTGTCCTCCCAGCTGGTCAGCATCGGCTCTTCCTACAACTACGGGAGTGAAGACCAGGCCGAGTTCCTGTGCGTGGTCTCTAAGGAGCTGCACAACTCCCCGTACGGCACGACCAGCGAGCCCAGCGAGAAAGCCAAGGTGGGTGACCGCGGGCAGGCGGGCGCTGGGCCAGCTGGGCACAGCCACGGACCGTCCGGTTCCCGCCTGCAGAGGGGCCCATGGGGTGGCGGCTGCCCTTGGCGGAGTTGGGCCCCCTCTCATCGTCTCCCTGCTGCACAGGCTGCCTGGCGGCTCATCCATCTCGTGCTGTCGTTCCTTGTCACAGAGTTCTTGCCTGATGCGTCAGCAGAGTCCCGGAAGGAAGGACACATAGGTCCCGTGGCCCGCAGGTGGTGGAGCCAGGGGTCTTTGAACAGGGGCTCCCCCTGGAGGCAAGCCCCTGTGGCTTCTGTAGCCCATGCCCTCTGCCTACACCTCTTTGGACAGGCAGAGTTGCTTCTGGAAGTTGGTCTTTTGATACCATTTTGGATGGTTTTCCTGGGAACTTGAGACATCAGGGCTGGAGAGGGAGGCCACCCAGGTGGCACCTGCCTTAGCCACATCCATCCATGTCTTGGGGGTCGTGTTTGGTTTGTAAAAGGTGCAGCAGTTCCTGCAGATGCTCTGATTTTCAGACTCCTCGGAGTGTTGGCTCAGCCCGGGCCGTCCCTGTGTACTGGCTCCATGCTGGGCATTAGCGCTTCTGTCTTCCGAGGAGGGCAGGGGTGGCCGTGCTGGGTTTCGGGGTGGCCTCGGGGCATGGGGCAGCAGCTGCCATCTTTTCTGGGGTCGCTGGCTCCACCTGGTGGGACTCCTGGGCCTTGGAGGATGGTGGTGGCCTGAGGGCCGTGCAGCCAGCTCTGAGGGGGGCCAGGGAGGTGGGGACGGGGCTCTGGCAGGCACCCCCACAAGCTCAGAGCCCCGGGGTACCTGAGTGAGGGCAGGAAACACCAGAGCCTGGAGGATTTTAACTGATGATGTTAAGTCGGGGGTTTCTGACGCTTCCTCAGACTCTTAGCCCCACCAGGTGGCCTCTGGTCAAAGCCACCGGCCCAGAACTGCCCTGTGACCCTTTCAGGGCCTTCCTTGGAGGTGTGGGCTTAGGAACAGACAGCGGAGTCCCCATGCACGTTAGCCTTCTTGTGGTGGCCGTCCTCACGAGGCTCATGGCCGGGTGAAGAAGTCCTGCGTCTTCCCGGCAGGGCGACTGTCCAGCACACGGGGCGTCCCCGCCCTGGCCCACAGCACTGTAGCTGCACGTGTGGGGGCGGTGCTCGGCCTGGGGACGTGCTTCCCGTTGAGTGGGGTAGAAAGTGACACCACCACCACCCCCCCGAGAGCCCCCAGCCTCATAAGGAGGCACATCTCTCTGAGCAGTTGCAGAATTCCTGTGTAAGTTGTTCCTTTTTAGAAGCTTTGATTTCTGAGCTTGAGAAGTTTTCATAGCTGTGCTTTACCAGGGCAGCCGCCTGAGCTCATTTTCCTCAGGTAGCTTTTCTGCTGCAGAAAGGCTACGTCTGTGCCGTGAGGAAGCTCCAGGCATGACCCCAAATCCCTTTGTTTCTGAAAACGTGCCCTGTTTTTCTCTCCAAAAATACCTGGGTCTGAAGTGTGGCAGCCACTGTGGCTCGTAAATGGGGGCAGTGACAGGAGCTCCCCAGGAGGCGGAACGTGGTTGGAGCCTCCAGAACGCCACGGAGAACCGTTGGGGCTGGATTGGGGGCGGTAATCTGGGGACCCCAGGCACAGCGTGGTTGTAGCAGGGCGCCAAGGGTCAGCCTCCCGGCACTAATGGCCAGTCTCCTGTCTCAAGGCGGGAATCGAGTGGGCAGCTTAGTGAGGGCAGCGGTCCACACAAGGGTGGCCCGCCTCAGCTGCCAGTTTGGGGGGCCTCCCAAACCCCAATCCGAGATGTGCTGGAAGCGCTTGGAGGACTCACTGAGGGGACCCTGGGGTATGGTTTGTTGGTCGGAAGGACAGAGAGGGAGGGCTCAGGTCCAGCAGGGGTGGGCGTGGGGCTCCTCTGCGGAGTTGGGACAGGTGGTAGCATGCAGAGAACAGTGCCCCCCAGGGTTTCCCCCACCTCCTTGTCCAAGGATTTTACTGCTCTCGGTGACACACAAGATCGATTGATAACTGATCAATGACTGATCGCCCACTTGCCTGATCACAGTTTCCAGCCCCCTGGCCAACTGAGCCCTCCCCTATCATGTTCTTAGACCGTCCCGTGTGGCCTGGAGATCACAACCTTTCCAGGGCCAGCAGCAAAGACCACACCTCTATTTGAGCAAGGTTCAGTTCTTCACTAAAAAGAGGGAGGGAGGGCGCCTGGGTGGCTCAGTCGTTAAGCGTCTGCCTTCAGCTCAGGTCATGATCCCAGGGTCCTGGGATCGAGCCCCGCATCGGGCTCCCTGCTCAGTGGGAAGCCTGCTTCTCCCTCTCCCACTCCCCCTGCTTGTGTTCCCTCTCTCGCTGTGTCTCTTTCTGTCAAATAAATAAATAAAATCTTTAAAAAAAATAAATAAATAAAAATAAAAAGAGGGAGGGAGAGGTCTGGAACCTTGGGAGTGCCAGGCCTGGGGACATTGGGGCACAGGAGACGCCCACACCCTGTGTTTTCCTCCATGGCATGTCTGGGCACGTGGGTTCGGGGCCCAGGACCCCCACACGAGACTGGCCCATCTGTGCTTCACCACCCAGCACAGGAGGGTTCCTGCCCCCGAGCACCCATGCTTGCCGCCGCCATGGGGAGACTCAGCCTCTGCGGGCGGGCTTCCCGGCTGCCGCCCCGTCCCAGCCTGCACTAATGGTGCCCTCTCTTCTCCTTTGCCGCATGCTGCGTGCCGAACCAGAGCGACATGGGTCACAATGGGGATGTCTCAGATTAAGTGTAAATGTCATGGTGAGTTCTGTCACCCTTTCATTGACCACTCACTTTAGTCTCCTTGACCCCAGCCCTTCCTCCACTGCACTTTGTGATTCCTCTAGTGGACAGAACCTTCTGTGTTAGAACCTGACTGTAGATCTCCAGCGGAGCCAGCCTGTCGGGGGGGGGGGGGCGGCTGTCTGTCTGTGTCCTTTAGGATGTCTGTGGGTGGCATCGGGACCTCGGCTGGGGTGCCTGAGAACCCTGTGTGTCAGGCTTTGGAACGACCTCATTGCCATGGATGTCCGCGGGCAAGGACACCGGCCGCCCCTGCTGTCACTCTGCCGTGGGCTCGGGGCATCTCCTCCCCTGAGCCTCAGGAGAGGGATGCTGATAGAGAGGAGTCTGTGAGGACCTTCTGTCTGTTTGCCCTGTGATGAGGGGCTCCGCGGACGCTCCGTTGGCCCCCAACTGCTCCTCCCGTCCCTCTTCCCGTCACCCAGGTCTGGAGCCCGACTGTGCTCACCACTAGCAGGGGCCACCTGCTCTGTGCCCTCATTGTACACACAGGGAGTCGAGGCCCAGAGAGGGCAGGTTACAGGTGGGTGAGCCACGCATCATCCACGGGGCTCCCCTGCTCCCTCCAGGCCCTCCCCGCCCCCTGGTCGTGGGCCAAGCCATGCAGATTGGGGGCCCCTCAGCTTCTGCCCTGGGAGATGCTTGGGAAAGGCGTGTAGCCATCCAAGCCCTGAAAGGTTGACCGCCCAGCCATGAGAGGTCTGGACTGGGAATTGCAAATGGAGAGTGGCATTTCCGTTTTTAGTTCCTTTCTGGTGATTACATACATATACAACATCCTCAGTTTTGCTTCTTGATCCACCAATCCTCAAATATTTGTCACCTGGCTCTCTGAGACAGTTTGCCGAGCCCTGGTCTGGACGAGCGTGGTCCATCTGTCACTTCAAACTTTTTAGTAGCCACGTCGAGAAAGTCAAGAGAAACGTGAATTTAAGCTTATACTGTTAATTCAGTACACGCAGGACGTCAGAAATCACGGAGGTGTTTTACTTCCCTCACTCAGTCCCTGGAAGCAGACGTGTGGTTTGTGTCTGTGGCCCCCCTGTGTTCAGAGCGGCCGCGCTGCGGGCTCAGCAGTCACCTGACCTGGCCCGGCGGAGCATGAGCACAGCTTGCCGCCTGTGATAGGAGCCGGTGGTGGGAGGGGCTGGTCACACAGCAGCCCTGGGTCCGCACGGTGGGGTGGTGCCCCCTGCCTGGGCCCGTCCAAGGGGGTGCTGCCTGGGGGAACGCTGCTGGTCCCTATGGGCGGCTCCGGCCCCACTGTGGGAGGTGGCCCAGTGAGAAGAGCCCATCCCGGGCAGAAGGGCTGTGACTGTCACAGGTCTAGGCCTGGTTTTCTGTCCTCGTCAGGAGACAGTTGTTGGCTTACTCTGGTGGGGCGGCCCCTCTGGTGTGGTCACCTTGCTCCAGGCCACGTTTCGGTTGCACAGGCTTCATCCTCTCCACTGTGGACTCAGACACTTCCTCTCCTCTGCTGGGCTCCCATGGAGTGAGGGACAACTCTTCATGGGCTCCCACAGAGTCTACCTTGCCCTACAAACAGCAAAGACGATGGGGCTAAGACCAGCACTTTGGGAATAGCAGGGACCTGCGTGTGACCATCCTGGGTCCCCTCCCCAGACCGCATCCCTCTGACGGGGGCCTCCTGGGCTTTCCCACCCAGCTGACAAATCCTACTAGATGTAGGGTCTGTTCTTGTCTGGGCTGAGGAGGGGCATTGAATCCGGGACACTGTTCCCCTATCACAGCGGAAGGTGCACCTTACAGAGAGCGGAGTGGGGTCCCAGGAGGTGGGCACAGAGGATAAGAGAGCATGAGACCATGCCAGCTGGGTGTTCCGGAGCCCTCAGACGTGGCAGGCAGAGGCCCAGGGGCTGGCAGGGGTGTGTAGGGCACCAGGGCAGAGGCTGGAGTGACCCTGAAGAACTTGGGCCTTCTTGAGTGGGTCAGAACAAGCCCTTGGTGAATGTGAGTGACTGGCATCCCCGGTCCTGTGGCCTTGCTGCTCTGGGCAACCCCCCTGGCCTGGGGGCAGGTGGCCGCGGGCTGGCGGGGCCTCACTGGGAGGCGGTGAGCTGCTTTCTGGCCAGAGGGTCCATGTGGGCCTGGACCTGGTGTGCACGGGCTGGCCCCTCCCAGGGCACAGTCCCACCTTGTGCCCGGGTCTGGGCTCAGAGTGTCCCCAGACCCGTATCTGGCTCACCTCTGGAATTCAAGCAGAAAATGCCCCCAGGAGGCAGCTCTCACATGGCCGATGACACGGGCCGCCATACAGTGCTGGCCTCAGCTGGGTTGGGCCAGGCTGGGACTCAGGCACTTTTTATGGTTACGTGATGCCTAGCAGCTGTACTACACGTATCGATCGAAACAGCGAGAGATCTGCCGGCTCTGAAGCCCCCACCCGGGGACACGGGGTGGTCCCATCCCTGCTCCCTGGGCTGCATGGGGCTCAGCTCTGCAGGTGTCCACCCGTGCTCAGGGCTGAGGGAGGCTGGGGGCCCTCTCTGTCCCTGAGATGCCGAGGAGGGAGGAGTGAGAGGGACAGGCATGGTGGCCAAGGGGCAGAGGACTCTGCAGGGCTGCAGTGAGGAGAGGCCGGCACCCTTGAGGCAAGGGGGCCAGCGCACTGAGAAGCAAAATGGGAGGCCTGCCAGGCAGCGTGTGGGCTGAACTGATGGGCGTGGAGGTGATGGAGCAGGCCTGGGGGCCCAGGCTTAGGGGTCGTGTGACTGGGGCAGGGTTGAGGGGACACTGAGGGGACGTGGTTTGTGATGGGGCAAGGAAGAAGAGCAGGTTGAGGCGGGGACCGCTGACACCCTGAGGACCCTGAGGGTCCACACATGTCTGCAGCCTAGGACCTAGCCGGGCTGGAGACTCAGGAGTTGGTGCCTATCAGGTGGGCTGTGGCACCTGCAGGAGGAGAGCAGGGGCAGCCATTGCGGGGGATGCTGTGGGGGACCTCTGGGCACTTGATAAGGAGCCAAGTCCCAAGTGTCCCCCCCCAACACACACACACACACACACACACACGTCCCAGGCCTCCCTGAGGTGGCCCAGGGAGGTGCCTAGTAGGGGACGGGCCGGCTGCTGTGGTAGGAAGTGGGGGTGAATACGCCTGCCATGGGTTGGGATGGAGATCTGGAGGGACTCCTGGCCAAGGGCCAGGAGGTTCGTGGGCCGGCCCCTGCAGCAAGGGTCTCCCAGCCTGTTCTTGGCCCCTGACCCTCCGTGCCAGCCTCCTCGGCCCCCTGAGCCACCTGCAGGCGGACTTGGGGTCTTGGGCCCTGCTCCTGGAGCAGGTGCTTTGCTTCAGGGCCTCGTGGCTCCCAGCTGGCCACAGGCCACAGCCCCGTCCAACACCTAGGTCCTCATTGTCTGTGTTTGGCATTTTCAGATTTTGCAAGAACGGGGTTCAAGGATGTGAGAACACAGTGATGACAGCTGAAGAAACATTTTATCTTGTCCCAAGTTGCGACGATCTGCCATGTGGAGGAAGCTTGGCCGTGAGAAGAAACCTGCGTTTGACAATTTCTCTGTAGAGATTTGGGTGTGGATCCTTTTTTGCCTCTGAGGTGGGCGGTGAGAGACGGGACCAGCTGTCTGAGGCCAGGCGTCTCCACTTGGAGGAGGCGTGCTGGCCGGGTGGGTGTCCCCACGGGGGCCTCCGTGAGGCATTCCCCGGGCTGCATGGGCCTGAGGCAGGATGCTTCCAGCCAACCCCTGTAATCACCGAAGGTCATTTAAAGGACAGCGCTCTTGGTGCTAACATAAACAGTCTGTGACGGAGCCTAGGCCTTACTGGTAGGAAGTGGCCGCAGCACCGTGGTCCCAGGCTCTGGGTGCCTGCTGGTCACCCACACGTGCACCAGGCCCTGGTCCTCGGGTCAGGGAGTCTGCTCTGCCTCCCCGGCAGGAGTGGTTGGCGATTTGCACCCCTGGCGGGTGGCTCCTGAGAGAGACGGCCTCCACGTGTTCACTACTTCCCGGGCCTCGGCCCCGAGGCCCGGCCTCATTCCGAGCCAGGCTCCCCGGCCTGACCCTGCCTGGAACAGTCGAGGCTTCTCCACTTGTATTTTCCAGGCCAGAGAACTTTGCGTCCCTTCTTCCCTAGTGTGGATGGACTACCCTGCGTTTTTACTCCTTAGAAATGCCTACAAGCGTTGCCGCATTTGGGACTGATGTGTGAAGTCATTGACAGGGACGGAGCAGTTTGTGTGGTGTGGCCCGGCCATGGGCCTGTGGCGGAGCTGCCACCCGTCAGTGCCTTTGTCTCGCCTGGGATGGAGGTCGGGGCGGGAGGCCTGTCCACCTGGCTTCCAGAGTGGAGACTCCAGGTCACTCTGAAAACCGGATGTTTACACAAATCTCTCCCTCTTGCCGGCTCGCTCCTTTTCTTTGTCTAACTATGCAGTTCTCTCTGGGGTTTGGGGTGTTTGAGACTCCGGCGACCCGCACGGACTCTGCACGGACATGACATTGGAGCGACTGGGATCCCTGTAAACAGCGCTGCTCGCATGCTTTGAGGACAGATCTTTCCTAGCTGTCGGGGGGCTGTCAGAGCCCGGTGAGGGGGTTGGCTCGGACGAGCAGCTGTCTGCTTCCTCACCAGGGCCGCTGTGCGCTCTGACTGCCGCTGAGCAGGGCAGAGGCCTGGGCGTGCTTAGTTTCCAGTGCTTCCGGAGGCTTCTTGCCTTTGCCCTCTTCTTTGCCAATAACCTGATTAACCAAGTTCTCCGGCACCCGGGATTTACCTCCTCCTTTCTGTAAGGTCTCTTGTACATTGTTAAATGTTTGGCTTCAAATTCATCGCAACCTTTCTAGAGGGCACGTTTAGGGCCCGGCGACCCATCCTCCCAGTGAGCCCGGGGCAGGGGCAGCCCCTCGTTGGCCTTGGGGTGTACCTGTGGGTGCTGCTGGCCACGTAGCGTTGTTTGATCTAGGACCTTGACATAATAGATAGGCTTGTGGTTTTTTAATTTAAAGATATTAAGACTTAATTCACTAAAATTTATTCTAAGGGGATATTTATACTTTTATACTTTTTTAGGTATCCGTATTTTATCAGCTTACAGTTTAATGCCTAAGTTTCCCCTGAAAATAGCAAATAAAATTGTGTATTTATGAATGAGAACAACTGTAAGTGCCTCAGAATGCATGGAGAAGGGTCTGCTGCAGAAGCGCTTCATGGGCTCGGGGTGGCCCCGTCCGTGGCCCCATCCATGGGCTGTGGTCTGTGGCCTGCCCTGCGAGGGCCCGTCTTCCTCCCCTCGGCTGGGCCGCCTTGCCTACCCCCTGCTGGCATCCTGCCCCCTCCCCGGGGACAAAGATCATCTTCGAGTGACATGTTTAAAGCACGCTCATCCTGCCCAGAAGTGCCACCTGCGGAGACATTTCTCCGGTCCTGGGGTGCCTCCCCCACCCCCCATCCCCACAGCTGCTCCGGCTTCCCCCACTGGCTGTTGTTCGAAAGCTCTGGGCCGCCCCCCCACACTTGGGGGAAAGCCCCCCTGAGGCTGGCTAGGATGTCTTTGACCCCAGCCTTGTCCGAGTGTCCATCCTGCTTGCAGGTGTGCCGCTGGCCTGGCCAGGGCTCCCAGGGTCCTGGGGCTTTGTCCTGCTGGCCCAGTTTGGGGAGCTGGACCTACTTGCCTGGGGGGGGGTGCTCAGTGTGCAGCCAGGGGCACATGGGGAAGGACTCCAAATCCTGCTTCAAAGAGTTGGCTTTCTGTGCAGACTGACTTGGCACCTTCCAGCTCTGATGCCAACAGCAAATCTGAACGTGTCTCCTGTCCAAGCAAAGGACTGGAAGGAAGCCAGCCGCCCACCCCTGTCCCGAGACTGAGGGCCCTTACTCTGGGTCTCCTGGGCAGGGAGGGAGCCCTGCCTCTTGAACCTTGCGCTCCAGCCTGTCTGCCGGGGGTAGGTGTGAGGAGGGCAGGGGCCCAGCTTTCTGGGCAGCCAGCCCGGTAGCTCCAGCAGGCAGGACAGAAGAGGGAGGCGGGTGCGTGGAGTGTGCAGCTGCTGGTCCCCCCCGCTGAGCCCGTGTCCAGAACCTTCTAGGGCCCTGCAGAGGGGCAGGCAGCAGCCCTGGTCCCCTGGCCAGGCTTCTCCTCCCTGCTGTGCTTGGTTGTGTCCACCCAGCAGGTCTTTCTGGCCTCGTAACATCCTCCCCAGAGCAGGAGGCAGTGGCTGGCTCGGGGGGCCCAGGGCCGCAGCTGTTCCTCCGTCCCTGGGAGCCTGTGCCCTCAAGCCGGCCGGGTGCCTCAGAGCTTGTGTGATCAGTGGCCTGGCCGGGGGCCGGGCTCCGCTCCAGCCCCCCGGGTTGAGAGGGACTTGGTCTCTGGTTTTGACTTGCACACACACCCCTTTTCCTTCCTCCTGAGTGCGTCCCGCCTGCCCTGCCTTCTGAGCACCTGACCTCGGGGTGGCTGCATCAGGCTCCTACTCCCTGCACAGATGCTCCAGGGCCTGGGACTCAGCACAGGGTACAGGGCCAATCCTTTGACCTCACAGCCACAGCTGACCTCTGGTTCTTGAGGCCAGAAGGGGCCTGGAGAGCTGGCCCAGTGGTTTTCCTTCCTGGGGCTCCCACAGGCTGATCGTAATGCGCACACAGGTATGGATTTCCGTGCTTGGCTGCAGCCCCCGAGAGGTCGGCCCCCTCCTCCTGTTTCCCCTGCAGGCTGCTGTGGTTGCCCCAAGGTGGGCTTTTCGCTGTGGGCCCCAGCCTATGCAGGAAGACAGTCTCCTGGTCTGTGCCTGCCTGCTCTCTGACACCTCCGTCCACCCCCTGGCAGATGGCTCTGAGGCTTGGCAGCAACATGGAAAGTTGTGTATGAGCTGCCCCCCTGCCCAGGGTGGGAGAGGAGACGGTGACGGCAGGACGGTTTCTCTCCTCAGCCCCTGTCCCAACACTCGTCCACTTGCTGTGGGTGTCAACTGCATGAAATAAACCTCTCCCTTTAAACCCCCAGCCTCTGCGAGAGTGTTTTCTCTTCCCCTCTCTCGAATGTCTGCCCCCGGTCTGGGGGGGCCCGAGTTTGGGGAGCCCAGGGGATGGGGACTATGCCCCAAGGATCCTGACCAGACCCCTGTCCTGTAGCAGAGGCAGGAGGGTGGGGGTGATGGGGGTTGCTCAGAGCAGCAGAAAGCTGAACAGCCGACGAGAGGAGGCACAGGTGGGGTGGCATGGCCTCCCTCCAGAGACCAGTCAACCTCGAAGCACCCCCCCACCCCAGCCCAGGGCTGGAGGCTTTTTCTACCCCCAGAATGGGGTGGTGGGTTCACCCGGGCCTCTCTCCAAGGCTGCAGGACCCAGGCCAGCCCCTGTTCCCAGCCAGAATGACCCAGAACTCGTCCCTAGGGCTGCCCTCAGCCCAGACCCTCTCCCCCACCCCCATCTCCATCTGGACCTCAGAGCAGCTGCTTCCCCCCGCCCCCCACCCGAGGGACTTGGAGCCCATCTGGTCTGGAGAAGGAGCTCATCAAGCCACCTGATCCCTAGGGGGCCACTGAGCAGCCAGCAGGGGAATGGGACCCTGTGAGCCTCTGCCAGTTGCCTCCCCTCCCTGGTGGCAAGGACATGCCCAGACAAAGTGGAGCACAGAAGGGAATTCGTGTTCCCACTCTGTCCCCGGGGCCGGTTCACAGCAGGTGCTTGCTAAGTGGTTATTGATCCATTCCAGAAATATCCAGGTCTGCTTTCTTCCCGGCACCAGGCCTGGGCAAGCTGTGCCTTTGTGTGCGCCCGTGAGTGTGTACATGAGTGTGTGTGTTGTATATGGGTGTATGTGCATGCGTGTGCACACATGTCTGCATGTGTGCATGTGTGGGACGCAAGGCAGCCGGAGACCTGGCCCTGCCTTCCTAGGAGTCTGGTCCAGTGGATGGTTGCTGAGCTCACAGGCAAGCCCAGATAACTTTCAGGAATCGGCCCAAACGAGGGAGCTGACCATCTGGCTCCAAGAGGGGCCTGCTGTGGTTGTATCTGGGCCAGGCGACGAGCCTGAGGTTGTCTCCTGGGGCAGCCGCGCCGGGCAGGCCTGAGCAGGGCTGGAGCAAGCTGGGGATCTGAGCTCTGGAGACCTTTTGTGCTGGATTCCTGGTGGCAACAGGCCACAAGAGGGTGGCTGGGAAGCAGGGGTGAGCTGCAGAGCTGGGGGGCTGTGATGGATTCTAGCTCATTTCTGAGTTCTCAGGGATCCTTGCACAAACTACTGAAGACTCCGGCTAGTATGGCCTGAACCCTAAACCCTGCAGAAAGAAGAAGGAAGTAGGTCCTGGCCTGGGCAGGGGGTCCTGACCTGTTGACCTCCATGGGCCTGAGTGGCCTGCCCATGCAATGTGTGGATTTGGGGCTCATACTGGTCCCTGCATCTTTGAGGTTTAGGGAGGCCTGGCCTCCCAGAGTGTTGGGGCTGGTGGCCCAGCAGAGCTGTCCCCAGGCTGTTGCAAGGGAGGTCTGGAGCCTAGGAGGGAGGTGGGCAGGCATGGGAGCCCAGGGGCAGGATCTAGGTCTCTACCTCTCCCTGCCTTGACCTTCACTGAGTTCACCACCCAAGTCACCTCTGATAATCAGGTGGGGGCGCTCTTCTCGGCTCAGAGAGGGTAGCAACTTGTCTGATGTCTCCCAGCAGATGTGGGCCCCAATTCCAGTCCCACCAGTTCCCTGTTTGGGACTCACAACTGAGAAACTGAAGCTGAGGGAGGGGGTGCAGGAAAAGGAGCCAGGGCCCAAGAGGGACCCAGGGAACAAGGAGTCCCTGGGGGTCCCAAGGCACCAGGAACAGCCCTTGCCTCCCCCACCCCATTGCAGTAGGAAAGCACAGCTGTGGGTGAGTCACCCTGCTGATGTTATTTAGAGGAGTCTTGGGGTGATTCAGACACAGGCAGTGGGGCCGTGGGAGATCAAAGCCTTCCTCCTCTAGGACCCTCCACTGGGCCCCTGCTTTTTCTGCTCGTATCTGTTGCTGCCCCCCAGGGGTACCCTTCAGGGATACAGTGAGGACAATGTTGGCAGACGCTGAGGCAGGGCTGGGAGCAGGGAAGCCCCTATGAGGGGTTTCCGGGGATGGGTGTCCAGTGCACCTGCCTCAGCTCCCTTCCCACTGGGGAGCCTCAGCCCCCACCCCAGAGCTGCATCAGCCCTCCAACTGGTGTGCCGCCACCCGCCTCCCCCTGAGGCACCACGGGGCAGCCAGCACTGAAGTCAGGTTTTTATTGGAGAACAAACATAAATAAAAAATGGGCGTTTGACAGGAAATAATGGGAGCGCTATTTACAAACGTACAGCATGGGTCCCGGGGCTCAGAGGAGGGTGAGCAGGGCCACAAGGACCCAGAGGCCCGCATGGGCTGCCAGGCAGGGCACAGAGTTCTGAACGAGGGACTGCCGGGGCCCCCGCTTCTGGCCACCCAGCCTGGCCTGTTGGAATTGTAGTTCCGGGATGATCCGATGGATCCAGGTATGGTGGGAGGTGACCCGGATGTAGACACCTGGGCGGTTCCGACGGGCACAGCCCTCACCCCAGCTGATCACCCCGGCCTGCAGCCATGACTGACCCACCAGGCACACCAGGGGTCCCCCCGAGTCGCCCTGTGGGAGAAGCAGAGGTGCAGTCAGAGCCCATGGGCCCAAGAGCCAGCCTCTGTGGCACCCAGGTACACGCACACACTGCCTCCCCTTGTCCCTCTCCTCTGCTCCTCCAGGAACATCCCTGCCCGGGACCCCCATCCCACCACCCACTGGCTGGTCCTTCCTTTTCTGCCCTGGGGTGCCCATTTCCCTAGCACCCCCAGATTACCTGCTCTGATTCACGTCCGAGGGGCTTTTGAAGGTTCCTGGCCCACCGCAGACCCCTAAACCGGCCGACCATGCTGGGTGGGGTCCGGGAGTTTGCGTTTCCCAGCTGATGGAATGCCAGGCTCTGGTGTGGACCATGGCCCCACCTACTGGGGCCGCCTGGGCCCAGCCAGGCTGGCTCCCACCTCAACCTGGCCCTAGGGAGCAGGGCTCGGCCTCGGGCATGGCCCACCCCAGCCCCTACCTTGCAGGCGTCCCTCTTGCCCTCGGCAAAGCCAGCACACAGCATGTCGTCCTTGATGGCTTTTGCCTGGAAGCCTGACTCGGTGTCTTTGCTGTAGAGCAGGTTGCACTTGGGTGTGTCGATGATGGGCACTGCAAGCTTCTGCAGGATCCGCGGGTTGGGCAGGCGGTCTGGGGAGGGTGAAACAGCCCACAGCTCAGTGCACGGTCTTACCGAGGACCCCATGGCCCTCTGCCCCTCCTCATTTCTTGCTTGGGTTGAGACCTGGGCTCTTGCTACTCCCCTTCTCCCCACATGCCTATGGCTCCTGAGCTCCATTTTCCCGTACTCACTCCCCCCTATGGAGGAGAGACACGTGTACCAGTGTCAGCAGAAGAAGAGTGTTGGTTCAGAGTGGCCCTCCCGCCACAGACTGCCCTTCTCTAGACCTGTCCCCCGCTCTCCCCCGGCTCTGCCCCATTACCTTCCTCACTGGGGCTGCCCCATCCGGTGACCCAGCAGTTCGTGCCCGTCTCAAAGACGACCGAGGGGTCAGGCACACACACAGGGAGGATATAGTTGGTGAAGGTCACCGGTGCCTCCAGCTCCACCAGGGCCACGTCGGCACTGGAGGCCATGCCCTGGTACAGGGGGTTGCTCTCCACCCGCTTCACCCGGGCGTACACAGCGTGTGGGCCTGGCCTCACCAGCTGCTGTGCCCCAAGCAGGACCTGGTACAGGGATGTCTGGGAGGTGCTGGTGGGAAAGAGCAGAGGGCTGGTGTGAGACAAAAGAGGGACTGGGAGGGGTTGGACGGAGCTTCGAAACAGAGAGGGGTTGGGTGCCTGGGTGGCTCAGATGGTTGAGCGTCTGCCTTCGGCTCAGGTCATGGTCCCGGGGTCCTGGGATCGAGTCCCGCATCGGGCTCCCTGCTCCTT